CTGTCCTGGGGGACATGCAACAAAAAACCACCTGCCACCCTTCCCTCCCTCCCTGGCAAAAATGAAGGTTTATCCATTCCCTTGCTTTACTAAAGGTAGTGTTTGCTTGAACTTCTAGAATACAGCAACCCAGGAAAGAGAACGTATTCGGACGACCTTGAAAGCCCTTCAAAGAAATCAAGACGAAATAGATTCAAATGGGGTCCTGCTTCGACAAACTTATTATACCACTCCTATGAACAGCAGCGCAATCCCTCAAAAGAAGAAAGGTAGATATATATACTCTTATTAACCAAGTGCCAAGTCGGTATCATAAGATATGGACCGCGATGTGACCAATCACAGCTCGTATTTCGTATGATTGTGAAACGATACTAGTGGCAAGCTCTAGCATACTGTTACCGTTCCGTATCTTTACCGTAGCCGTAATTGCGCGTTGTGATTGGAGGAATTACTGGAAGACAATGGAAAGCCATTTCAATGTTACAGCATGTTGTACCGCGTACGCGCTGTAAGTCAGTACCGTACTTATGTCTCACACTCATACGATAACCATTCTTATGGGAAGCCATTGCAATGTTATGGCATTTGTACCATATACATGCTCTAAGTAAGTACCGTATGTTTCCCACCTATACGATATCCGTTCTTCTGAGAAACCACTGCAATGTCACGGCATGTCGTACTGCGTACGTGCTCTTACCGTTTCGTACCCATACGATCTCTTCTGGGTTCAAGCCATTGCAATGTTACGGCATGTCGTATCGTGTACATGCTGTAGATCAGTACCATATGTTTCCCACTCATACGATAACCGTTCTTATGGGAATCCATTTCAATGCCACGGCATGTCGTAGCTGTAAGCAAGCACCACTCTTACAAAAACCACTCTAATATTATTTTTTCTTGTTCATTTTCAGAGAGACTTTGGTAATCCAATGTAATAAAGCGGAGTGTGAACAAAGAGGAGTTCCCTACAGTAACGTGGAAGGGCTAGGACCCAATCTAGTCACAGAGAGCAGAGTTTACAACTGGTTTGCAAACCGACGAAAGGAAGAAACATTTCGAATGAAACTCGCTATCGAAGCAGCCAGCTCAGGCTTCCAGGAATCGACTGGTTTGTATTTCCAAGTGCTTCGAGTTACTGTTCAGTCATTCCCACTTTTTCTGATTATTTTCCCCTTCAAATCGTTGACATTGCAGATGGTACAAAGGATTAGTAGGTACGGTCTGTGGTGGGGGGGAGGTTAGTCTCTCCCTTGATGCCACGGCTATAACATTATTCTTCGTAATCCGTACATTAAGGGTGGATCGGCGTTATCATTTTTTCTCTCTCTAAATATTGCCTTGTTTTCTGTCTATATGTTACTGTGGCGGCTGTCTACCTAAAGCGTTGCCCCCGAGTCACTATGACTGAATCAAAGGTATAAAATTCTAGCTAATCCAGTGGTGATTTTTTTAAAGGTCAAAATCTCAGTTCACCAGTCACAACGCAAATGTCAGTCATCTCATCCAAAAGTACCGTCGTATCAAGCTCGTCGTCGCTAGGCCCACCAAACATGCGATCGCCTTTATCTTCACCTGTGCAGTCGTGTTCTTCATTCCATGTTACTGAGAATCAGAGCATAACTACTGCTGCCACTGGGAGTGGAAGTCGAGAACAGGCACTGCCTAGTGTTGGGACACTGATGCAAACCGCGTCAAATGTCGATAGCAACACGTTGGCTGGTCATAGAATGATGCACGGGATGCCTTCACAGGTGGGTGGGATGATGATGGGGTGAATCAATGAATGAATAAATGAAGGATGGAATATGGAATATAATGGGGAAAGGAAGGATGAAGAAAGGAAGGAATGGATGGTTGAAAGAAAGGAAAGCAGGAATGAATGAATGTATGGAAGGAAGGAAGGAAGCAATGGAATGGAAAAAATGAAGGAAGGAAGGAATGGAAGGAAGGAATGGAAGGAAGGAAGGAAGGAATGGAAGGAAGTATGGATGGATGGATGGAGGGAGGGAGGGATAAGAAGAAAGCAAGGAAGAAAAATGGATGGAAGAAGAAAGGATTGAAGAAAGAGTGGATAGAACATAATGGATGAATAAATGGATGGATGAATAAATGGATGTAAGAAGGAATAATAGAATGAATGGAGGAAAAGACAATTTTGTTCACTTTCATTGCACTGATATCCTGATAAGAAGAGATAACTAGCTAAAAACTAGTGTGAGCTGCCTCGGTGTTTCTAATGAAACAGTAATGATAAAAGGGTCAATTTTACACCGTGAAAAGATGAAAAAACGTACTGACGTTTCGGAAGCTAGTCCTTCGTCGGGGTAAAAGAGCTCCCTTTTATCATTACTGATATCCTGATAACTTTTTAAACCGTTTTCTCTTAACAGGTCCCAGAACATTCACCGATGTTATCAAACAACACCATACCTGGTGGTCCTCCACAACTTTCCATGACCATCACTCCTATCAGCACAAACCAGATAGTAGGATCATGTGCGAGCCAAGCCATGCAAGCAATGGCAGGCCGCCACATATCCATGCATCCTATCCCAATCACTACGTTCCCTAACACTCCTTCATCCATGGTGTCTACCGAAGTATCAAACTATTTTCACCAAGGTATCCTAGCAACGCCTAACTGTGGAGTCCCGAGTGTGACGGTGAGCCATATCGCGCAGGCGCAGTCTCCCATAGTAACGGTACAACACCACCCGAACAACGCGAGAGGTAACGAGAGACATGTCGTTCATCATCATACTCGTCGTAATGTCACGAATACCCAGAGCCCAGTCATTCAAACTACGAAGAGACAGACCATTCAGGATCCGTCTCAAGAGCATGGCGCGAAGCAGATCAACAGAAGCGGTAATGTGAGCAACAATGACGAAACTCCTGGGGTTAACGGCGAACACGTGATTCATCACGTGGTTCAAGCCATTTCTGAGGACCACCTCGATGATAGTCCTGACCACGATACTTTAACAGTACCAGAAGATTCAGAAAAGCACCCTAAAACTGCGGATGTCATTGACGGGCTGGACGTGACAGTGAAAATGGAGGTAAACGGAGAAAATGTCGAAGAAGTGGTGGATTCTATCGGAGAAACAGTGACAATAGAGACGACAGAGTCTTGTGATAGCAGCCCTCTTAAAGACTCGCGAAAAGAGAGCGCGCGATACGAGATGGGATTCTCGAATAACGAAGCCGTGGTTGTCAGGGTGAATGGTAGTCATGGTGATGAAAGAGGTTCATGAAAACCTTAATTACACGTAAGAAAAATGAGATATATCGTTTATTTTTTATTTAGATTTAGATTTTAAATTACGGAAGCTATTATGTATTCTAGTGAGATGCAAATTCATATTTTATTTTAGATATTTGGAGGTTTAATTAATGAACACAAAAGATATACGATATGGTCACCCTGTATCTTGCTCGCCGGAAGACTAGAACTAGGAAAATATATCTTTTAGTCCTTATCCTTTTCGTCCTTATCTTTTTTTTTATCCAATCAATTTTTGTAGTTCATCCAAGCGACCATGATTCGATGAATTATAATAATATTTCGATTAAGTGAATATTTTGAGATTTTTTTCCAATTCATAGTCCTCATTTGTTGAAATATTTCGCTATACACATCTCAATTAATTCATACATATATTTGCAGCACTGTGAAAATATTTGACACATATTTGATTATTACAATCTAGAACATTCTATGATTGGATATATTTTTAGGATTATATAATATGTGACGATCAAAACACCTGCTTTGAGTAAAGTGGAGGCAATAGACAGAAAGCTCTTTTCAGCTTAGGCATATTATTTTCTTATTTCATACCATAAATCATTCCCTTGAGAACTATTCTTTTTGGGGGATAAGGGTCGGTTTTCAATAACCTTAACGAATCATCCCACCCTCCCCTCCCCCTTTCCACAAAACTGTGTTTCTAAAAGGCTAGGATTGGGGGAAAATTAAGATCAAGCTTAAACGATCTCAATGTTGTGTCAAAATACCTTCATTTTGCGTTTTTAAATCTTGTTTTAACGAACAAATTAACGAATATATAGACATAAATAAATATATATATGTATATATAGTATCCATAATGATGAAAATATGAGTTTTATTTAGTATGAATTAGACAATATTCAAATATAACTGATGAGTATTTTACTACGCATACGGATATATTATTAAATTTTAATCTTCAGTACGTTATCTTAAAAATTCAGGACACTCAGTACAGAATTGGCGGCATTAGTTGAGGCTACGTCTCGTCCAATCAAAAAGCTTGTACGCTTTGACCCAATCACATCGCTCGAAAAATCGGACAAAATACTTTTACACATCATCGTCACAATAGCGGTGTCTCATCACTCGAAAACTTCTCAGATTAATGCTAACATTTCTGCGGTTTTCACACTCCAAGAAAAATATTTTTAATCTTCAATATTCTAGAAAAATGTACAATGATTTTAATACTGAATTCTAGACACAAAAGTAATTGTGATTGATTCAGAGTTATATTGATCAGTTTTTTGATTATCATTTTAAATATTAATTCTACAATGATTCCATAACTAATAATTAGTTATAGTCAATCAGTTTTTATCTTATAGGAAAACCGTTCAATTTTCTTGGTTGGGCTTCAATTTTATTTTTTTCGCAAATAATATTTGAGGTTTGACTTTTTTTCTCGTATTGGGATATTTCTCCCAAGGATATCGCCTACAACTGGTTTATACGAATACAAAATGATTCCTATGATCATTTCGAGTTACAATGGAATGAATTTCGTACGAGGTTCATATCGCTAATTTTTAATATTAATTTTGCGATTTTTGTTGGCAATTTTCAATGGAAATCACTGAATGGACACTGATATTTTATCTACGTTTGCAAAAATGCTTAATATATTAAAACCTTAAAACGTCCACTTCAGACGTATCATGAACTCTCGTACGAGATTCGCTCTTAATTCACTATGAATGAAAAATATTAAATTGATGATTATATTTTTTTAATTTAAGGGAATGGATTTTATACATGTTTTTTTCCTCTAGATTTCACATTGATTCCAATTTGAAGAGTTCGAGGTAGAGTATCGAGCACTAAAAACGTGAACTTTTCAAGTTGGACTCGTGCTAATAGACCTCTTTGGATTGGGCGTAATTATTTTTCCATGTCAGACCAAATGTTATTGCCTAGAGAATAAAGTTCTTTGTTTGAGTTGTATCCATATTCATGTGTATTCTCATGTACAACCGTCGTTAAACAAAGAAACGATATTCTAGGGAATGACACGTGGTTTGAGATGGGAAAACATTACGCCCAAGCTAAAGAGATCTATTGTTGAGGAAAAGCTTTCAGACTAAATCTGTTTAGACTGATCAAATATATTATAAAACAAGATAGTATCATTCTCTCTTGCTTAAAATGAAGACAAATAATAAAATTAAAATCAACGAAAAGCTTTGATTAATAAAGTTTTTTTTTTCAAACCCTCGTGCAGTAAAGTACAGCAGCGTAAGGTATAAGTCATCTTCAGTTTCCTGCAAGATCCACAGGAATCCCGTATGAAGCCGCTTTGGCGTCAAGATACGAATAGCAACTTTCAGTCATAATCTGGGTTTCTCACCGCTCGTTTCGTAAACTGAAAACATTTTTTAGCCCATTTTTGAGCCCTGTAGTAAATTCAAGAAAAAGAGATAGAAAAGAAAGGCCGGGAAAATAGAAAAAAGAATAGTCAGAACCGGGACGTATGTGTAAGCTGAGAAAAGACATAGTTGAACACACAAAAGGTGGGTAAATGGGGGGAAAACAGCTGTAAAAATATGCAATCTGTCAACTGCCTCTTCTGAGTTTGAGAGAACGCCCACGAGCTAGTAAAAATCGGTTAAACCGAGGCGAAGAAAGACCGGAACAACGCTGAAGAGGGAGCGAGAGATCTAGAATGGAAATGGGACGACAAAGAATTAAAAAGTGAAAACGCCTAAAGATGAAGGCAAAGTTGAGTGGTAAAATGCTAAAAACAAAGTGCAAAAAATCGAAAAAGAAAAAAAATAAGCCTTAGAGAGATAGTGGAAGCAAGAGGAAATGCCAACAAGAAGGTCTTAAAGATTCTACTGGGATCCCTGTGTGGAGGTGTGTGTGGGGGAGTTGAACATCCCATAATGTTATTAGTGTTCCATGTGCAACGTGGACGGGAATCATCAACTTGTACTTAGAATAATCTTCCTCATCTGAACCCTAAAAATCTCTAAAAACCTTCAAAAATGGTATGTCATAATGATCATAGTGAATGGTCTCTGTTGATTTTGACATCATTTTTTTTATTTCTAAATGTATTTTGTTATTTTTCAAGACGTCATATACGGAAAAAGGCGAAAAGGTGAGGCAAAGAGCTGCGTTTTCCCCTTAATTTTAGAGCTCTTCGGTTCTCTTTGCTCCAGTATTTGACTTATTGATAGTTTTTTATTTATTTTCGTAGCCAAATGTTGGAAAAATGATCGCTTTTGACCATGTAACTCTCTGGGTTGGGAATGCTAAACAGGTTGGTATTCAATTGTGTTCATATTATATATTAACTACATTACTATATATAACTATATTATATATTAACTACGAGAACTAGAAAACAATTTGTCATGCTTATTTWAAAAAAATGCAACTAAAATCTAATTAGCACTTAAACAAATAGAAAATCTGCTCGATCATTACGAAAAACAGAGGCTATCCTGGTTTAGTTCAGGACAGGAGACTATCTTATTCATACGTGTCGACATCTTTCAAAATGCGTTTCGTTTATCGTTTGTAACAATGTTTTTTCAGAGCTTATGAATTTTGTATGAACCCAGTAAAAAAATATACATGTTCATTCATATACTTTCCATAGGACTGCGTAGTTTAGTTTCAATGCAAATATTCAATCACTATTATTTTTGTTTTAATTCTTGCCATTTTTTTATTCATTTCATTTCATTCTATAAATATGTTATTTCATTTTATTTTTTCTTCTCTGTATTTTTACTCACTTTATAAAATATTTAAATTAACTAGACATAATATTTTTTTGTGACTGAACATATACAGGCTTATAGTGGACTTCAAGAAGAAATAAAGAAAAATATAGATGGATGGAATTTTACTCATATGTCAAAACCCTAACTACTAAAACAAAATATGACAGAACGAAAAATGATATAGACTATATAACACTTAACACTTATTGACTGGGACTGAGGGAAACAGTGTGTTTTGTGGTCCTGAGATGGCGAGGGACCACAATAAACAGACTGCTTTACCGAGGTTCCAGTCAAAAAGTGTTTTGTTATGTACCAGGTGTCAAAGAACACACAGCAATTATTTGATTATTGGATCCTTTTTAACTTACAAAAACTTATATTTCTGGGGAAATTACTTCCGGTGTTGCTATTACTAGTCAACAACATGTTGTTGTCCCCTGAGAACCATTGAAGGGGGAAACATTGAAACTTGTTCACATTTGCATGATACCCTCTCACCTAATCAGAGTATGAAAAAATGGACTTTGACAGTTGAGCTATATAACAATATGTATTACGTACTGCAGTATTCAAGATGTATTGACACTAAAATGCATCTCTCCGTATGAAATAGGCTGCATCATTCTACTGCACACGTATGGGCTTTGAACCAATGGCATACAAGGGGCTAGAGACTGGCTCAAGAGAGGAAGTTTCGCATGCTGTCAGACAAGATAAGGTCGGTCTTAAAACGATTATTGTTGAGCTAGTCAACTGTTTTCCCATTTCAGACCATGGGTCATTCCCAAGAGTATTATTTCTTTGTTTAACAGTTGCACTTGAGAAGACACATGAATATGTATACAACTCACACACAAGGTGACACAAGGTCTGAAATGGACAAAACATTACACCCAAGTGGATTTGGTTTATTTGATTGCATGTTACATCATTGCGGGCTCTTGGGGGACTATCGGTGCCATATATGACAAATGATTTCTCATTGGCATCCATTGTTAACGGCACCAAAATGAGCACCTTGATTTTGTCTTTTGAATTGCTTGGGAATGCTTGCAACACATCCATACCCTATTATTGATTGAAAGAGTAATTGTATGTGTGGAATCGAAGGAACTCGAGTCAAGAGACTGATGAGAATTGCTTTATTTATTCAATCATTAATGTATTCCAGATTATCTTTGTTTTGAAGTCTGCTCTGGTTCCCAATAATGAAGTCACTGAAGGTAGTCATTACATGTACATCATGCACCATATGTTGGTGTCAATAATTATTATCTTGGCTCGTACCCTGAATCTAACACTAATAGTCCCTATATATGCATGCTTAAATGCTATCTGAATAATATCTGGATGGTAGACAGCACAATATTACCCAACAGATTTGTAATACATTTATTTGTAGGCATAAAAAATAATGTACCATATACAACATTCCTACCTTTTTGCAATAATAAGAAAATTTTGATAGAAATGCTAGTCAGTTTATTAATGGAAACATGTTCAGGAATACTGATTTTTTAAAAGGTTCGATTCAATTTTGAACATTTTATTCCAAAGATCTACAATATAGTGCTAGAATTTTAATATCTCAAATATGGCCTATTGTTAATTGGGGGAGGGGAGACAGGGGGAGACAGGGGGGAGGGGAGAAATGGGCTTGATTCCCAGACAGGTCTATAACTTCTTAAGTATTTTTTCTTGTTAAACATTTTTTCGTTAGCCATGGGAAAGCATCTTACTTTTCATGGTGATGGTGTGAAAGATGTTGCTTTTGAAGTGGAAGATTGTATTGGTCTGTACAAGGTGAGGGCAGAAAAAATTGGAATATAAATATGGCTACCATTTACCAACCACTAATCATTTACTGATCACTTACCAACGCCTTACTGACAGCTTACCAACCACTTACTGACACCTTACTAACCACTTACTGACCACTTACCATGCAACCACTTACCAACCACTTACCAACCACTTACTGACACCTTATTGACACCTTACAGACCACTTACTGACCAATTACCAACACCTTACCAACGAACCATTACCAACATTAATTACTGACACCTTACTGACTACTTACTAACTTGGGCAAAAGGCTGAGAGAATTTATTTCATTATGAAAAATTATGCATAAATCAATAAAATATCAGTATATTATTTTATCCTTCTACAATGAGGCATCTGAATGTTCTGTAGGAATCAGTAAAACGAGGAGCAAAATCAGTGAAAGAGCCTTGGGAGGAAAGTGATGAAAACGGCACAGTTACCTTTGCAACTGTTCAAACTGTAAGTAGAAAATGGGTTGTATTATCCAGTGTCAGATCATAGTCGTAATCTGTGCACCAGCTCTAAGCACCATTAAAGAAACATCAGTCAAGTCCCCCAACATACATGTTTGCAAATTTATAGCACAATTCAGCTTCTTTTGCAAAGCTAAATATTTAAAGTCTGTCACCATTCCTTTCCCCTTCCATTATTTTCCTCTTAACTTTCTTTTCTCCTAATTTTCCTGCATAAAAAAAGTGAATAAATAAATACTTTTTCCCAATATTTTAGTATGGTGATGTGACGCATACTTTTGTTGAGAGAAAGAACTACACTGGCCTATTCCTGCCCGGCTACAAACCTCCTCTGTATCAAGACAAACTACTGGCCAAATTGTAAGTAACATAAAAACCCTTAAATGTTGTTGAACCCTGAAACAAACTCTGGGCTAATCAAAGTCAGGGCATGGCTAACTCACAGATTGAACTCTGAAACAACCTTTGGGCTGATCTAAGTCAGGGCACGGCTAACTCACAGAAAGAACCCTAAAACAACCTCTGGGCTGATCTAAGTCAGTGCATCACTCACCGATCTAGATCAAATTGAAATTTAGTGTGTTGGGTTTATGGAGGGAGAAAAAGCAGTGAACCTAGAGAAACTTTCAAATCAAGGGAGAGATGTAATAAACTCTACTCACAAGTGATGCAGAGTCTGGGAATTAAACCCAAGTCCCCAAAGGCCTGGAGAAGCCAATGCAATACTGCTACACCAAAATTTAATTTAAATGGTTAGTGTCCATCTGAACCCACACATTGTACTCCTAAATGGCCATTAATGTACCCACTTCAAAAGAAAGTGCAAAGATAGTTCATACCAGGGACCTCCAAGCACATGTAGTTAGGAAAGCTAATACAATTCTTTTGATATTATTCCAGGCCTCAAAGCAAATTGAATTTTATTGACCATATTGTTGGAAACCAGCCAAATGACCAAATGGTTCCTGTTGCTGATTGGTGAGTAGGCACACACGCTACTGAAATATGCCTTTTTAGTTATTTTTTCCACCTTTTCATACTTTGTCTGTTTTTCATTTTTAATTTTAGGTATGAAAAAAGTTTGCAGTTTCACAGGTTTTGGTCTGTTGATGATAAACAGGTGCGTTTTGAGATGGATACTTGTGGTGGGGGACTAAAAACTGCATATCTGCAGAAAAAAATTGGTATTTGAAACAAAATAAAAATGTTAAAAATTCACACTTATCAATTCACACCCCCTTCTGAAACCCTTACTCCCTTTAACTATCCATCCCACCCTTCACTGATTCTCCCTCTTAAACTCCATTCATATTTCCATTCATCTCTCCATCCATCAATCCTTTCATCCATACATCCATCCATCTCTCCATCCATCCAGCATCCATCCATCCATCCC